TCCACAGGCTTTCATGTAAATGTCGTTTTGCGGTGGAACATAATAGAAGGCGCACATAATAATAAGAATAAGAAAACCTTTAGTCGTCTCACAATGGAGAAATTCCCAGTTTACAGCAGCAAAGTTATGAAAGGAAGAAAGTAGAAGAACAAGAAGTGTAGGAGCTGCTTTACAGCTCGCGGCGCCATCTTGAAGTCATACCAAACTATTACTGAACCTCCATTTTGTTTTAATTTGAAAACACAGAGTCATACTCAAAGCAAATGGCCAGCGTGGGCACATTCCCGCTACTTGTCATGATGCGTTCGTGTCCGTTCCGTCCATTTGATGACGGGTAGTGACTAACTTTTTGCTGATAACAAATGAACCCGTGGTTTGATAAATACAAATTACGATCGCTAATGCTAACAAGCGACGCAGGCCGTATTTGGCGCATGGCGGCGAAATCCAAAACAGGAAGCGGCCCGAGCAGCTTACCTGGCACTTCCTGTCAGACGGCATGACCCACTTTTCAGCGTGCAGACCAAGGAGCTCATCCAGCAGGAAGCAGCTGTCGGGGGGTAGGGAGAGCTGCGTTGTTTGTTTTTTCAGAGTTCATTTTCACTGCTGTTGAGACATCGGCTCAGCAATCGCACGGCGGGAAAAAGCGGGAAGACAAGGTTCAGGCACCTGAATTTAAAGATACACAACACACACAGCGGCGCGTCACTACCCGCACATTTTGTTTTCAATGTCGTCATCAAGTTCAACTGTTTGTTGAACACACCTCACACCGCAGGATAATCGTTCGGGATAATCTGTCATGTGACATCTGACAATCAGTCTTTGCTTTCTTTGATCAGCGGAAAGGGAAAATGCTGAAATTCGGACGGATTATTGGGATGGTCGTACTCTGCTTGACGCTTGTCGGGGATGATCACGTTTGCCCTGATTATCGGTATGTGTGGACCTAGCTTTACAATTATCGGCCGGACCGTTTTCTGATTAGAATTGAAAGTAAAAATCACTCTTAACATAGGACAGTAGCCCAGGATCATATTTTTAGGGACGCCTGACAATCGAGCCTAACATTTGCTGATTTTAATAAAGAGGATGAAGGGGGAGGTTCAAACTTGGCCCGATTATCGTTATGTGTGAACCCCACTTTATGACTCGCAACCAAATCGTTTTCGAAGCAAATTGAGGAGGATACATCACTCTTAGGAGACCTCACGCCAGCGGATAATCACTCAGGATCATCTTTTAAAGACATCCGACTATGTGGCTGAAAATGACTGTGACGCGCGGGGGGCGGTGGGCGGTGGGCGGAGCAAGCGTCTACGTCTTTATTTTGGCAAGCGCGTCATTCAGAAGACATGAAATTAAAGTCTGGAAAACCCCAAATAAAAAAAACAATATATACACTTCAGATATTTTCAACGTATTATTGCGAGCCGACAGTGGCATTTGCAAACAACGTTTTTGACTATCAGTTGCCGCACATTCGCTTCCTGTGTGACGCGGCGTCCTTCATGTGTCTGCCCTGACATTTCAATTGTGGTTCGGATGCACGAGTCGAGGCATGACCGCACGTACGCACGCACACACACACACACACACACACACACACACACACACACACGCACACACACACACACACACACACACACACACACACACTAGCACTTACAGTAGGCTATACATGAGGGGCCGCATTGTGCGCACAGGAAATGGTGATAAGTTCATTACCGTGACAGGTTCAGGAGGTGAAAGTTCGTAGGTTTCGGCAACACAGCTGCCTCCGATGGGAAAAGTGTCTCGATG